TCGAATATACATATTACAATTTATAAAACAAGCAACTTGACCTGATCATTCCTAATCTGTGACCAACCGAATCCAATAGTTGAGTGCTTTAATTAGTGTTTCGATTGAATGATAAAACTAGTTTGATTTAACAGTTGGATTAAACTTTATAAAGTACATTCACTATTACTTATTTAAAATGTATCTACATAATGTAAAAAATATGACCCATCATTTTTTTTTTTTTTTTTTTCATTACAGTTCGTTACAATTTTAACAAATAATAAATTTTCACATTCGAAACGATAAACAGGTAAAGTCGTACGAAAGACACAGCTCGTTAACTTTGTTTTTATCCAGAACGATGTAGTTCAGACAGTAATCACACGATATGATCACCACTCTATGTAACACGAATTATAAAATTGTGCCTATTTTTTCCATATTATTACAAGTATTATCAGGCGTGTACGTGAAAAATTATTTCGGGAGAGGGGTTGAACATTTTTATATTTATGTATATAATCTATATATCACTTTTACTTTATAAAAACATATTGAACATTTTTTTTTGAATTTCGGGGGGTCTGAACTCCTAACCATCCTCCTCCTATATGTATTCACCTGAGTGTGGCTGTAAGAAATCGCGTGTAAGTCGCATAAAACACGTAACAGTCGTACACTGCAAACAATAGTAATCGCGGAACGTTCTGTACGATAGAACTACACTCGCAGGTATACCACTACGCGAAGTAATATTAGGATGTAAGAAAGGTATCTGACGCGATCCACGGTGCAGTATATACCACGAATTAATACGTGGTGGAAACACTTGAAACGTATCACATAATATTATATAATATTTTATTATTGCGTCCTTAATATATATGCTAATAATAATGTACAAATTAAGAACTAATACCAAAAATTAAATTAAATATTAATCGTTTCCAAATTGTTTTCGTATTTATTTAATATTTCTAAGAAACAAATTTATATTCGTAAAAATGTGGAAGGACGCTGCGTTCCCCTGATGAATACAATAAAGGGGTACTCTATAATATGAAAAAAAATATAGCTGTTAATGTAAAGAGTAGCTCAGTCCCTCTGCGCCCCTCTCTAATTAAACCACTGGTTATAAGACATTAAATGTTTAATCATTGGATTCTCTATTAATAGCGGTGTAACGTCGAATAATCTACATTGAACAAATGTAGGTAGTACCTATTAGGTACTACAAGGCCGTAACTGAAAATTAATTTCGGGGAGGGGGGGGTTGTAAGCCAAAAATGTGTGTTCTAATTGTATTATAATATTGTGTAGGTAATTAAATATGGTTAAAAATTCATAATATTGTAGAATTATAAATAGTATTTATTAATGAAATTCACATTAAAAAATTTTTAGACTTAATATTAATTAGATTATTAAACTTAATTCTATACATTTAGTTTGAAAAATGGTTTATATTTTATATGACAAACTCTATATTTCTTTGTTTTTTCATTTGAAAAACGATTGATTACTTCTTCTGGATCTACAACGATATTCCTATGTACACTGAGTAATGCTAGGCCATTCAATCGGTCTTCTCCAGTTGCATTCCTTAGGTAATTTTTTATTCTTTTCAGTGTCAAAAAAGTTCTTTCCGGTGTCGCCGTAGTTACTGGTAAAGTTGCCAAAACTTTTAATAAAAATGAAATATTTGGGGAAAAATTTTTGTTACAATTTAAATATGCTTCAAGTATTTCAGGAGATCGTTCTAATATTGGTTTATCACACCATTTTCTTTTCCAAAGTTTTAACTCGTTCGAAAGTACATCCAAATCTAAAAACTCTGAGTATAATTTGAAATCACTTGCTTCTAATTCAGAGTTAGTACATTTATTGGGAAGTAAAAAGCACAGCGAAGATATTATTTTTTTATGGTTAGTGAAGCGTTCTTTTAATTGTCTTATAAAATCATCAAAAAATGGTATTGCAATAGCTATACGAAAATATATTTTCGGACAATTAGTAACAATATTCACACGATTTTGTTAACGAGCTTCTATTCTGGGAATTCTAATATTTTGTTCTCCATCAATAAATTTTAAAAGAAGTTCAGATTTTTCAAAAATATCATTAAACGTATGATCAATATTTTCACGTAAATGAATTAATTCGTTTAGTATTGTCTCGATATGTTGTACAGCTTCTAATTGTAAACTGATTGTAAACTTTTACACAGTGGAAGTGTCATTGAAAACAGAGTATTTGATGTAACCATACTTAATATAAATTCAATAGTAACTATTGCTCGATAAAATTGAATTGATTTTGATGACGTATTGATGTCTTGAACTAATTGTAATTCTTCCAAAGTTTCAACAATGGGTTGGAAAATTTCAACAAATCTTTGAATTCCGTTGTGGTTTTCAACCCAACGAGTGTCACACATTGATATCAGTTTAGTCCACTTGGTATTAGGTAAAATGTTTTTTATTTTAGTTTTTAATATATTTGTCCGCATAGCCGAACTTTTAATGAAATTTCCAATAGATTTTATTGTACCAGTACAATTTCTGACGTATTGAACATTGCACGAATGAGCTAGCGCTAAATTTAAAGAGTGCGCACTACAATGCACGTAAAGTGTTGCTGGATGACTTTCCCTTATAATAGTTTGGACGCCTTTAAAATTTCCACTCATGGACGCAGCGCCATCATAACCCTGACCGACCATATATTTATCATTAATTCCAAGTGCTTGTAATGAATTTATTATTGCAGAGGCTAGGTTTTGACCAGTTGTACTGTGAACCGGTACAAATTGTAAAAATTCTTCACGTAAAACATAATTAATAATATCAGTTGTCTCTATTGAATCTATATATCTAATACAAAGAGTCAATTGCTCTATGCGTGATATGTCGGTAGTTTCGTCAACGAGAACCGAAAACGACTTCGCTGCATTAATTATTTTTATCTTGAATTATTTTCCCACAAATCTTAATAACATTATTTTGTATACTAGGACTTATGTACATAGCGTTTAAAGACTGATTTTCAATATGGATTAATTAATTGTTTGTCTCCGCATGAAATTCGCATACGCAACAGTGCTCTAAAATTACCATCATTATGATCAGGTTCAACAATATTTAAATCAAGAGGACCCGAATCATTTCGCCCTTGAAGTGCTAACTCTTGTCGGCCACATAAAATAATTGTTTTTATAATTGGAACGAGTTTTTTTCTATTTTCAGAAATTTGTAGAGCTCTTGCGGAATCGAGTTGTTGTCGAATATCTGGTTGAAATTTGGTATACGTGTTAATAAAATTTTCACCAAATATTACACTATATTTATAAAATTGTGTTGTGCTATGATGGGATAAAGTTTCAATAGCTTTTTTCCAATTATTAAATGGCTTATTAACTAAGATTCCCAATTGTTGATGATTTCCCTTTCCTCCGAAATCTCTGGCAAATAAAACACAAAACGTGCACATTGCTCCTTGTTCGCCTATTGTTGTGTAAGCAAGCCAAGAAAATCGTTTAAACCAATTAAACTAGAATTTTAAATTTCTTTTTCCAACTATGGGAAATTTATAAGTTTCATCGGGTGTCCATTTATTTACTAATAATTTATACTTCAATTCGTTACTTACAGTTTGATTCAAATATTTCCCAATATCATAAATATTAACGTTTGAGGTAGATGTTTCATTGTTCAACTCTGGACAATAAAGATTTTCCAATAAATTTAATTTAGGCTTTTTTATAAAGAAATTATTCATCATAGTGTTTTGTCTTTTTGCCATTTCAAATAAATAAATTAAACGATCGATATCCAAATGTAATCTAATGCCGTACGTCAATTGCGCAAATCGATTCCTACGTATATGTATATGTTACGAGCCATATGGAATACTGGGCTACGTACACGTCGCTCGAAAAATTTGGTCCAACCCGGGAAATTTGAACCTTGAATAGAAAAATGAATAATACTCATTATTATATCTGTACAATATTTTACTAATAATTTATCACCACTTTTATTATAACGCAGAACAAAATATGAAACATCGGTAAAATATTTTTTACTCACTATTTATACTCTTCTGTCTTATATCAATTGTTTTCCCACATCAGATTGATAAAAGTAATATAGCTACGTCGATAGAATCAGACAACAATGTGCGAACAATAATTGATATTTGCGATTAACCAGTCAAATGTTCGTGCTTTTCGAGAAATGCTTCGCTTTGTAATATTATTTATTTCTGTTCGAGGTTCGAATTTTCCGGGCAGAACCAAATCCACCCGAGCAATGTGTACATTCCATGTGAATTCCATATTGCCCGTAACATATATACGTTATAAACGTGTACATTACTATTACCATTGATTTTAAAACTTACAGATTAACGGAATTGTAAATCTGATAATAAATGAGCTTACGTTGTTATGCTCGTAGGTACGTTTGAAAACTATTTGTTTTATCACAATATCATATAATTATTCGAAGATAGTAAAAAATGTCGACTGGTATTGTATGTTTGTAAAATAAATTTCATAATTTCAAATAAAATTCATTGCTCAGTATAATTCCACGCGTTGTACGTACAGTCGTGCTTGAATTTATAACGGAAACTGTTTTATATGAACGTGGTAAGTATATTTGTTATTTACCAAAAATTATATAAATTTTCTTGCTAAGAACTTGCCTGTACGTCTTATTGGCTAAGTGATTGAAAATTCTCCAGCGCAATCGATGAACACCGCATAGTACACGTATTACGTTGTACATCGATTGGTTACCGAGCTATTTTTTTAAACACCGTTTTAATCGAATGCACAACCACGAGCAGTCGAGTGTACGTTAAAAACCATTTAGAGACATTTATTGAAATCGTTTTATAAATTAAAATGTAATGTATGGAAACTTTTTTGACCTAGTGTGTTTACCAAATGGACCGTATTACGTACAATTAATTCATGCAAAACCTAATCGACCGTTGTTTTTTTTTTTTTCCAGTCACTTCGATCAGCGCACGAAACGCCGGACCGGACCACGTGATTCGTCTGGTGGCTTGCGTTCCGCTCCTGTTCCGTGGTCTGCGCCACAACTGAACGACGCACCCCCGTCTCGTGCACTTCAACACCACACGTTATCGTAACGCTACGAACATAACCACCCCCATCCCCCCGGACCGACCGCATGGATCGACCGATTGTTATTGTACCGTTTTACGTGTTCACGTTGTTACGCTTCGTACGCGTTCGCGCAGTAGTTACAACCGGTGGCGCGGCGAACTCGATTCACTGACAAGGCCTGATCGTTTGTATTGCGAAAGAACAAAAATTAATTAGCTTTTTCCGAAGAAAATATACATTTGTTTGTTCCAATAACGATGCTTTCTTTTTTTTTTTTTTTTAACCTTTTTCAAACACGTCGGATCACGACTTCCGAGTTGTGTTGATGGCTCTTCGGAATCAATTTTTAAATCTCTTTCGCAAGCCAAAAACATTTCAAACCTTTAAAACGTCACCGGAACCACCGCCCTTTTTTTGATACCTAGGCACGTGGCCTCGAATCGTGGCCCTACGTCACGCCACCGGTTACACCGGCACGCACGATCGTTGTTCGTTGTTGCTGCCTAAACCAGTCCGTTTGCTATCATATTGCACACGCGAACGGACCCTCGAGCGCAAAGCAACACCGCAATAATTTCGCACGGCCGGATGTGAACCGCAGTGCGATTCCTGTGGACGTGGTTGCAACCGCGCGCGGACAAGAGTGAATTCCTGCGGACGAGCCTCGACGAACTGCTCATATATCGAGCGGCGAATCCAGTGTGATCGGTATGGCCCCCGGTGTTTTCAGCAGGAATTCGCGTAATTGTTTTTTGAAAATTAAAATGTTATAGTTTCACTTGTTTACCGAAGTATATATGTCACGTCGCAAAATATAGTTAAGGGCAATACATTTTTCCTATGAGAACATGACTAGGAACAAGCCGTTGTACACCAGTACCTGTCAAAACACACACATACACACACACACACACACACACATAAGATGTATCAATCCGCATATATTTGAAAGTTTTTAGACTTATAAAAATCTGTAAATTATAGGCGGGCTGGTTCGTAGAAATCAGTGATTTACAATTTTTCACTGTCTACACGAAACGCCGAATCGGCTCACGTTTGCGTTGGATACTTCGGTGGAAATCAACGAACGGGATCAATTGCTAAGGAATTTCGAAAGGAGTAAAGACTAGCGAATAATCTAAATTTTGATTTCGGATACGACGATACGCACGTATTTTACGTTTACACTGCAATGTGCGTTCATATACAACTATTAACAGACTCGCACACAAGATGTTCCAATCCGGGGAAAAGTGAAAGTTTTTAGTCTTTTGAATAAATCAAACGGATAGTTAATGGCGCGCGGCCGTTGCTCGACTGCCTCCGAAATGGTTGGAGTCGTGAAACGGCCGACAAATTAGGTTGCACGTAATGTGTTGACTATAGCCCGGCGCAGCTGTAATCGCTTCTATATGAATCGCTCCTTGAAAGTGATTTTGTTGGCGCACAGCGTTTGAATAAAACTATACGGTTCATTTATACATTTTATCACCTAGTCATCTACACACGTTTGCTTTAAACGCACTAAATTTTTAATAACGAATTATTAAGTACATTTTTTTTTTTTCATACGGTACATATCGCATACAGTGTTGAGCATTAGCTAGATAAATTATTTGTCACTCCTCTCCTTTTATCTGTTGCAACTTGTTAGTTTTCATTCAATAATCATTGTATAAAGTTTTAACTTGTCGGTTAGTCTTAGTTTACTATTTAAAAATGAACAAATTTGCAATTCAATAAAATCGTAAAAGATAATGGTAAACATATAACAGCCCAATTTCAGTATTTTTCTAAGACTATTATTGGGTAAAAATAATCAACAAGGATTTTTTTTAATCGCAGAGTAAGTTATTAACTTAAAAAAATAGAACAAAATTAACCCATTGAACACTATAACTTATTTATTACAATAGGTAACTATAATTTACTTCAGTGCCAGTATTTGCATTTAAATAAACTTGTTATGATGTACTGTATGTATATAGCTAACAAAAATAAATGAAAACCTTTTTCATTTTTTTTTTTTTTTTATAGATATTTATTCTTTTATCTTTATCTGGAAAAATGTTAAGTTGTCTGTGCCCAACATTGATTGCGTACCGTATGTTTGGCTACAACATCTTTAGTAACCACACCACATATGATATAACAATAAAAAATAAAAAATTAGCGAAAGAATGGTTTTTGAAAATAATGTAGATTTGTTCAAAAACTGTATGGTTTAAGTTCGAACACCGAACAAGAATCAAACTACTTAGGTAGTTTTCATTCCGATTCCGTGTAAGGTATATTTCTTCGGTTTTAAAACACACACACAACGGTTTTGAGCGTCATTGCCCGGTGTAGTTCGATCACCGTACACCGACCAAATGCCATATCGCTCTGTATCCTGGATGAAAGCGATTTCACGAGCAAGCAGGTGATAATGTATCAACATTCGAGAAAAAGTATTTAAAAATTGTATACATTTCTAATATTCGATTCAATGTTTACAAAATGTACAGCCAATGGATATTGAACATTTATCAAATATTTATACATAATTTGTATTTTAAGAAAGTATTGATGAATATTTATTTATTTACTTTTGTAATAGGAGCTAAGCATCCCCAAGTTTTTTTTACCTGGATCCGCCACTGTGTACACCGTACATTATTTAAGCTCAAATCATTTCAAAAAAAGATTGATAGTCACCTGCCCACACCGTAAAAAAAAAAAAAAATGATCACCCTTGACCGCGAACAAAGACGCCTTGCTGCGTCACAATAAACAGACATGTACGGAAAAGGCGGCGTTCGTATTCCACCGCGTAGTGCATACCGTTTTCCGCTTAACCCAACGGTTATATTATAATAATTATGTATCGGTTTGGACCGAGTTCGGCCAGTGTTGCATTCGTTTACCTGATGTTCAACCACGGATGGGTTTAAAGGATTAACTAAGGGGGCATTTGTCCCCCCCTTGGTTCTAAGGTATCTATTTTACAAAGCAAAGTATTATTATATATTAATAATGATAATAAAATATCGTCAATGGTCATTGATGAATATGGTACCTATTTTATATATTTTTTTTTATAAATAAATAGCTCACTTTTTTTGTTAACTATATGTATTTACCTATATTTTAAAACGGTTTCAGATTAAAATTGATACCAATAATGTAACTGTTTAAACTTTGTCATTATTGTGAAAAAAATGATTACTTATGAGGGACTCAAAAACATATTCTGTAATTTAAAATTTTATATAGATTTAAAAAAACCAACTAACTAAATTCTTAAACCTCCATTAGCCCTTCCCATAGTTAGTGATAAAATCCGCTCCTGATGTTCAACGCAATGCACAATGTTACACCGTGTTAGTCCGATTCGTATTTATCACGGCAGAATAACCGCGTGTTGATATTTCGTATGCGAACGACCTTGTATTATTATAAGATTGTTTCACCCTGTATTTGATACGATTAAAATATGTACATACTATAGTATAAATAATATACATAATATATTCGTTCTATTGTAAAACTGGAATATGTTTATATGATAAGATACCTCTGTATACAGATATCCAAGGTCAACAATTACAAGGCAGGGCCAAAAAAAAATGAGATTTCAGCAAATAAAATAAATAAAGAAATAAAAATAATTAATATGAGCTAATTGTCATATTTTAAAACTTTAAACGAACAACACTATGGCAAAATTACTTTAAAAAATAATTGTGTTTATGAAAAATTACTGTACTATTATGTCTAAGGTCAGATCTGGTAGGGCTATGTCCCAACTTGTCTCTGGCTCTGCCACGGGTCGGTTGGTTATTGAATTATCACAAAACTTGTCACTACTCACTGCTATAGGTTCAGTTAACACTTAAGCAAGAATAACCCTCATAATCACCCCTCAAAAAAACCAGTAATTCACATTCATAATTCATGTACAGCGTACACAAAATCAAGAATTGTGAAAAACAAGAATTGTCAAACTTAATGATTATATCGTGTATTGAGATCATAGACATAGATTATTATATTTTATCTCGGTATCAAACACACAATTCTGGGATCCGTTATTTTTAACAGTAGTGAAGAAAAATTCACTAGCGCCCTTGGCAAACTTAGAAATTAACGTCTTTTTACCGATTGAAAATTTAATGTTATGATATTTTTTTTAACCTTTAATTTTATTAATTTTTTTTAGGATACAATTTATATGTATAAATTATTATTACAGTGTTAATTTTAAACTGAAAATTTACTTTTCTCGATTTATGACTGGCAAATTCATCGATAATTTCTTCATATAAAACTTTTTATATAAATTCTCTTGTGCTATTTTCATAATTTAATTGTTAAATTCACACGTAATGTGTACAATTAAACAACATATACAATGTATATGTATATTATACATAGTTCAAAAAGTATTATGGAAAAATTTCGATTTGATTGTAGAATAAAAATACGACTTTTGTACACTTTTGCGCCCCTTTGTAATTCGCGCCCCTGGCGTAGGCAAAGTTTGCCATACCCTTACTATGCCACTGATTTTTAATCTGGAAAGATTATGGAAGTTTTGAAGGAGGCTAAGCTCTCCACTCCCGAGTTGCACCTATGATCCTTTCGATGTTTTGACTAACCGATGTGTAGATAGAAAAAAAGTTTTAAGTAATAATTTTTATAAGAATGAGCCACATTTTTATTTTAAGCGTGTCACACGTCGTTTTAAATTTTTTTTTTTATTAAAAAAGTATGAAATTCCAGAATAAAAAAATGATTTATATAATATTAAAAGAAATCATTTATTTTTCATTACTCATATAGTTGAAATAACAGTAATGGTAAAAATAGCGTTCTATCTACGATTATAAATGTAATTTTTCATTGGACGAAAAATATATTTTAACTCTACAACAACATTCAAAAACGATTCCAGATGGAACGTATATATAAATTTGATATCACTGTCAAGTGTATATACTGTATTCATTATAAATTGTTGACATCGATCTAAATTCTAAAAAATGCGTATGGTCATACTACTGACAGCTATATTTTCTCCAATACGATTTATGGAGACTACGAAAGGATAATGAAGCATAATAGATTTGTAATGGACCGGATCCATAACTATAAATAAGGGATTCCGAGCCTTGACATACTGCTGGTACACCAGTAAATGGAATACGACCAACTGTTCTATAAAATATATTTATACTTAATAAGTACACAAGTATCAGGTAAGTATTGTTACAGACGATTATTCATTGCAATATAATTACTTTACTTGAGCTAAATTTTACGATAAAACTCCTATAAATTATACGATGACTTTTTGACCAAAATCATTGAAATGTCATCGTTGTTTTACATGTCTTATATGTCTTGCGCAATCATTGCGTTAGTGAATACTACAGTACTAAGACATGTTAACCATGTTCGCACCAATACCGAATAAAATGTGTGTAGTGGCTCAATCAGGTTTATTTTCGGGAGGAGGTGAGGGGTATAGATTTAAAAAAAAAATGAATTTTGGATATTGCTTGGGGGGAGAGAATGGGGTAAGATTAAGTTACCTACATATTTCGGGTGTGGTCACAATCATTTATAATAATTATAGAACATCAAACTAGTATTATATATAATATGATTATATTATAATCATTGGCCGAAATGAGCGGAGAAAAGTCTTCACAAATCCTCTCTTGACCTCCTAAAAACTATTCGTGTTTCATATAAGTAATAATATATTTGGTTTTTTGCATTTTGGATATTTGAGGAATGATTATTTTTTTTTTTTTTAATTTACATTTGATTTGATTTATACTATATTACTATATAAAAGGAAATCGCTATAAATATATAAATAACCATTTCAAAATTAAGTATCGATGTTAACAGTGTTAAACCCTCTGAAATGCAACGAATTTCTTCTTAGGTGTAAATTTATTTTTGCGCTCCGTATTTAATATAAATACACTCTTTATATGATGTTAAATATTTTTATTTTATTTTTTTTTATTAAATAATTATAACAAATTTGTAGAAGCTTTAAAATTCAAAAAATACTCGGGTTGCAGTCTATTCAACTATCCCCTCAAACCGGTCTTTGTATACCAAGTATTCTGTGCGTATTTTGGAGCAGGACAGGAACCGAACCGAAAAGAACCGATTCTGGAACCGGAACCTTTTAAATAATAGGAACCGATACCGGAACCAAAACCTCTATTTTGATAAATGAAAAAGGTTCCGGAACCGAACCGGAATTTTTAAATTATAAAGGTTCTTTTAGGTTCCAAAATTAAATAGTTTTATTTAGCATAGATTATTTGTAGTTACTACTTTGTTTATAAATAATCAGAGATCCATTCTTATTATGTTTATACCTAGAACTATACATAGTTCTTATTCTTATTTTTTACCTATTTAAAATGATATTTTTGAAGTGTTTATTACGTGTAAATTTATCACGAAATAACATTATATAGAAACATTTTTCCCAGTATATACCATAATTGGAATCTATATTATCTTCCAAATAAAGCGATGATATTAATGAAACACGCTACCCGATGTCTAAATTGTAGTTCATACCTAGTTTATTGACGATTGACGAGTATTGTAAATATTTTTTAACTACTGCTTCTATGGAGCGAAGGCTAATTATTTATAATTTAATTATTTTTAACCTATTTAACTTAATTATCTTCTAAATTCTGATACATAACGATTTAGTTTTACCAGTTATAACAGATTTTATTACAGTATTACTGCTTTGTGTATTTTGTAGGGGGCAACGTTGATTGTCAGCAATAGATATTAAAATAATTTTTCGTTTACTACTATACCACATTAACGAGTGGACAATGGTATATTATACTATTTTCACTAATTTTTTTTTTATCGATAAGACATAATATTATATCACTGATAACAGGAACCGGTACCGAAATTATCTGGAACCGGTACCTTTATTAATTTTCATCATACAACCGGAACCGAACCGGAACAGTTATTTTATTGTATGAGAACCAGTACCGGAACCGATACCTATAAATTCAAATGATTCCAGTTCCTGATTTGGAGCATCCGAGCTGGGTCCCGAATACTAGGGGCTAATCGCAGGTACTGTACTAGTTGGGTCCCGGTTTTTTATTGGTAATACACTAGTTGGGTCCAGGATTTTTATAGGTACTGTACTAGTTGGGTCCTGAATTATTTTAGGTATTTCAGTACCTGAATATTTTTTGTTAAGTACTATATTATACTAACATTTTCCTTCACATTTTAACAGATTCAGGACTGTCTATAATCTATTTAGACTACAAGTATGGTTAAAAATGTTTTTTATAGAAGTTTTTTTTTCAGTTTCTTTTCCGTTAAAATATAAATTATTAGAATTGTGTTGGTAAAAAAAAAAAAAAATGTTAAAAATCAAGTATAAAAATATATATTATATAATTTAATTATAACCATATAGGTCAATGAAAAAATAATATTTTTTAAAAATCACTTTTGTGTTGGTAAAAATGTATACATTAATTTTACAAAATCGAATCGGTTTATTGTTCTTGCAATTTTTTTAAGTCATATTATTAGTTATGAACTTCTCTTTTAGTTAAATGCAATTCCTTTTTTTCATTACTTCACACTTCTCATTTTAATATAAATATCAATTTGTACAGGGTATAGTATCAGAGATATTAATAACATTAAAAAAAACATACAATTCGCTTTTTTTTTTAAATAATAAGTAAATTATATTAAATGGTTTACAAAATTTTATTTCCGTTCAAGTTGAAAATTGAAATAAAGAAGAAATTTGAAAAATTCGTTCGCATCTGATCTTTTATATTTTATCTTTTTGTAGCCTGGGATCTGGCACATCGAACGGTAAATAAAATCAAAAAAGTATTTAAAACTTAAAAATGATACAAAACTATGAAAGAAACAAAATCCCAATATAATATTCACGTACGCACATTTGTAAATTTAGTAACTACGTATAGAGTAAAATTTAAGAATCAAAAAACTCCGAAAAATCTCTTAGGATAAAATACAATTTTTTTTATATTAAGACGGGAAAAAAAGTTACAAAAATAAATATAAAATAATGCTTAAATGTACATCAAATTTATTTATAATTTTGGAAGATCAATAATTAATTTTCAAGTAAAAATAGACAAATTGTCTAATACTCAACATTTACATACACATTTTTTTCCAGTTCTTTGGTATAAACTATACTAAAAAGAAATATATAATAATTTTTCTTATACAAAATAAATTTAAACAGGACAAAATAATTCCTTATAAATTAACATGGATATAAAAAAAAAAATAATACATAGGTATATAACATTACAAGTTGAATAAATAATAAATAAACTTACTAATTAGATTTCTAAAAAGGAAAAATAAGCTAAAAATAAACTTTCTTTATGTTATTTTGAAATTGAGCAGAATATTTCACCAATAAGCTAACAACTCCAGATCAACATTTAAGATTTTTTCATGAAAATTAAATAATTATTATCATGGGTGGATCTAAGAAACATAAATACAAATTAATACAATCTAAGTACTGAAGACTAAGACAATATAGATAATTACAATGATGGATAGAAGTTTAGCTAAGTAGGTGAAAATGTATTTATAGAAATATTTAGTTACATAAATAATTTTATGATTAAAACACGAATAAAATTGTTTGGTAGTTATTTAATTTTAAAATATGAATGTATATATTTAAAAGTTATGAAAGTTATTATTTTTTTCTTGTTTTAAATAAACTATTTATTAACTATGAGAGATTATATTATTAATAGAATAAATTATAATTGAATGTTTTATAGAAAACATTTTAAATATATAGTAGGAACTATATGAAAATTGTTTCTCATTTAATTCTTAAGGATCTCAAAATTATGTAGTCTAAAATACCAAAATCTAATTTTTTTTTTTATATGACCATTTTTGATAACATTCTATTAGAAAACCCTTTTTATGATTTTAAGTTAGTAAAAAGCTGGTTTGTATTACATTCTGTTAAAATTAAGTAGAGAATTATATTGTATAATAATAAATATAACTAAAATGTATTATTCATAGATTGGTTTTGATCATTAAATAACATTATTGTCCATTCTCATAAGGAATTCAATAATACTCTAATGTATAACATTATATTATCAATCATAAAATTTAAATATCCATTTAATTATTATAATAAAACAGTGTAACTGATAGTATGAAGCAATTAAATTACTTGATAGTTTAATGATATACGAGACTCCATATTATTTAAAAATATTATACAGATATGAGAAATTTAGTCAAAATTAAAAATTATTATTGGTATATTTAATTTAAATGTAATTAAAACAAATTTATAATAATTTGACTTATTGTTAACATACAAAATACAAAATAGATAAAACTTATAGTTATATTATGTTAAATACTTTAAGCATATGCCATAATTACAAAATTAAATTTAAAAACAATACCATTTAACATGAAGTTATTCATTTAAAATAAGAACTATTAACTGAAAAATTGGATATTAAGTAAAAGAAAAATTTAAGAACAAGACATTATAAATAATTTATTTGGAATATACAAATTTTATTATTTTATTATTTACAATTTGGAAAAATACATTTATGCATGATATTTTAACAGAGATTTAGATTAAATAATAAAATAATTTTTTGTTTGATTTTTGTTAATCAATGCAAAATATTTGTCAAAACATCATATGTTATCAATTTAATACTGTATAATTAAACAAAGAGTATATCTTGTTTTTCAAATTAACCTCATTAGTAATGACTAAATTTAACAAAAGTATTAGACTCATTTACAGTTATGAAAATAAATGATTAGAGATGAATATTTAAAATAGTTTCTAGTCTAGTGTGATAAAAATATTGGCATATGACAATAATGTAATAACATCAAATAAATTAATTTAATTTAATTAATTAATAATATGCTTATAAATGTTTTGCCTAGAAAACAGACAAAAAATATTAGTTGAAAACTTTTTTTTTGGTCTAGTTTTTTAAAAATATAATTAAAATTATTTTTTATCAGAAATGTGTTATAATTAATTATTATTGGTAATAAAGAATTTTGACTAGTATAGTTCATTAAATGTTTCCCATTATTGTGATTTTAATTAACCAAATTCTTTGTCAAAATTGTAGATGATACTAAAGATTTCATACTTATATAATATTATCAGTGATAATATTCATACCATAATTTATTTATACCCATAATAACATTAAATTAATTTTTTTTTATATTTGATCATCATCAGAAGTTGAATCTTCTTTTAAACTAGTATCTTTGAACCACCCATCTCTATGGTTATCTTTCATATTTCCAACATGAGACCTAAAAATATTATAAAATTATTTCTACTTAGTAATACAAACAATACAATGAAAATATATATAAAATTATACAAACCTGCGCAGTCTTCCATCACCAGGTAATGTCATTGACGAACGTGGTTCAATCCCATCCACTGTATGTTCATGTGTTAATTGTGGTCGTCGTTCTAATGTCATAGTTTCTGGTTCTGGAAAAGCATCATTATACCCTTCAGCAAGTTCTTGATCATTCTTACAATTTTCACATTCTTCTCGGAAATCATCATTAGAAACTGTGGATATTTTATCATTACATATATGTTCTTCTTTATTTATGTGCTCTAAAATAATATAACATATAATATTAAATAATACTAAAAAAAAAATTAGTTAAATATACTACCATTTTGCACTAAACACTGCATAGCAGATGTTTCAGTCTCCGGATCACAAGTATTTGACTGAACACTTTGTTCAATTTCATTCAAGGTAACTGGTATGGTCCTGTGATAAGTAGGAACTTCATCTACTAATCCATTAAATTGTTGGGGTATTTGGTGAGGAAGTGCAATAACTTCATCATATGGTGGAGGTGCATCACCACGTGGATAATATGTCTTCCATAAGGGTATATGAAGAGTTGCATGATCACCATAATATAAATTAGTACTTATAGGTCTTTGGAAATTCATGTAGCCACTAATAAACCCAATCCCACGAACACTCTCGCCCATTTGAGGTGAGTTGGAATCACTGAATACTTCTCCAGCTATAAAATTATTAAAATGCAATACAGTATTTTTTTTAAAAAAAATATAAAATTTTGTTTAATAATATACTTGAACTTGTAATGATTTTAATTTTATTTTCTTTAAATTTAAAATTAAATTCTTAAATTTAGTGAAAATTATAATAAGACTAGAAAAAATAATTATTAGAAGATTTATTTATTTTGCATTTAAAAACAACTATATAATTCCATTAAAATGTACAACAAAATACTAAATAAAAAATAAAAATACAAATATGTTGCTCTGATAGTAATTAAAAAATACTTATTTCCAATGACTCTATTTGCAGAAACTTTTTGGTTTATAAAAAATTTAATGAAATGGAATAGTAATAGGACAATGCATAGTTAAATAAATAGCCAAAACAATCATCCCATAAATAATAGTTAAGCATCACTATTCTTTTATAAGTTTAATCAAAACCAGTTTGATAATAAATTAATATATATTTTTAGATGATAGAACATAAATTTACTCTTACTTGCCATAATATTTCTTTTGTGTAAACGGTTAATGAGAAAAACAATGAGTATAAAAAACAAAAAGGCCGTAACAGTACTGGCAATTGATCTGGCATTGATATTATCACCTTTGAGGGATTCATCTAAACAGTTGAATTCACAGCAAATACTTCCAACAGTAAATGACTTGCAATCCTATATTTTAATAAGATTATATCAATAAGCATAGTTTTGGTAAATACAGTGTAAGTTGATCATAATCAATTACTAATAAAAAAAAAAATCACCAAAGGGTATTTATAATCTTACAATGGACATTAAAGATCGGTTAACAAACTTAATCATTTTTCCTCGGCTTTAAAGGTATGCATACAATTCGGAATATTTACCTGTGGAGGGGAACAGAGTACAGCCTGACACCATTTAGCTATAGAGTTATCGCATACACAAAGGGTGCAAGTGTCTGGACCAGGAATGTATTGTTTTCCCTCACCAACGATCCGGCCATTATTGTCCAGGCAATCAGCGTAGACATCAACTTGAATAAACAGGAATTTACATCAATAAATATTATACGTTAGACAATTTTCAAAGGTCTGTCCCATTACCTGGTCGATGCCCGAGTATTGCTATAAACAATATTAAATAGTTTATCATAACTGTCCAGTAGTGTCCGGCGAGCTATTGTTAAGTGGACATTTCAATTTTAAACGCAATTTGCGGACACAGTACTTCGTCACTTGGTGATTTCAAACCATGTTATTATCGAACCGATTCGTTAAACTCTTTAAAAACCGAGGGAAACGCGTCGCAACACTACCGCAGGACAATACTGTATCCAAATATCAGCAAATATAAGTAGAGGGTGAAATGGCCAAATCGAACGATTAGCAAAAGTGTAACAATGATAATGAACAACCGAGTTGTTACGGGCAGAACGGTATCCCGCCACCCGTCCCTTCAGCGCAGCCGACCCTGGCAGAGACACCGGACGCTAACCGTAGTGGTATCCAGTGTTTAATGTTTATCCCTTTGTGGTCCGTTATCAGTTTGACGCGATTATCAGAACGATCTGAGAGTCGATCGAACGAACCAGAGAGAAAAGCGACCGCGGTCGCGGTGACGTAGCGGTAAGACGCGTTATATGAGCACAATTGATTCTCTTTGGCGTCTCATTCGCATGACAATCCTGTTGCGCCGGTCCCGTCGTTCTCGTTCGCAGAACGGAGCCGTAGCGTGAGGTCATGTTGGACCCTAGATGTTTTCACGGGTCCCTAGAATTTACTCTCTTGAAACAAAAAAAATTTATTTTACTTTGACGTCCTAAACAGCGCTCGACTTGGGTGAAAAACAGTTGAGGTGCTTTGATGACATGTACAAGTTTTGCATGATTAAAAACTCAACGTCACCGAATCCATCCCCCTTATGACACCCTCAAACGTGTTACCGTGAACCGTATTATCCAAACACAGAAGTTACGTATAATTTTGTCTGAAGAGGCTAAGATCACAACACAGAAAAAAAAACAAGAATAACAGACGTTCTAATGACAACGTAATGCCAACGAAAATTGTCGATGTTGATTTTTAATTAACATTATTTATGTAACGCTTTGTCTAAAACTAATACTCGGGCATACCTACGCGTTTCGTTAATGGTTTGTTTTTTTATGAAAATATTAACGGTAATTTTTGTGAAAATCGAACTCGAGCAATGTCTTTTGCGTCCTTTTTTAAAAATATTGCATTTAGTTAAATTATTATATATTATCAGGAAAAAGAAATAATCAGAAAAATAAATTAAAATCTGGTATTTGCTGGAACGGTCATGTTTCAGAGTTAGAGGACTTGAACAAGTTTCTTGAGAGGGACATAGGCGTGTGCCCGTGGGATGCCGTGTGTGTCCGAGCATAGTGCCGGCCCTAGAAAGAGGTAAGCGGTGCAATCGCACTGGGCCCCACAAATTATGTGTTACGAACATCACTTTATCTATAAATTAAAGTAATTTAGACCCAGTACGAAAATCGCAAACCGTGTGGTTTTCTCAGGAAACGGGTTGTTACCGATGAAAATGAAGACAGTACCAATTACGCATAGTTTTGGAGTATTGTACACGCATACACTTCTAAAATTGTTTATCGTCGATGACAGTCCGAAATGTAGTTATAGTATTTATTTAGTATTATAATAACATGAACAAACGTAGAATTCTAAAAACAATTAATAAATTAATATATATATATATATGTGTGTGTGTGTTCAAACGACGTATTAAATAAAGAAACTGTGTGGTGTTATACATGGATGGAAGAAGAGTTTCAGAAAGGTTCCAACGAAATTTCTTCTGCCTTAATCCACAGACTTCAGAATTTCACTTTCACCGATCATATTAAAGTTTTGCGATTGATAGCGGACGGATGTCCAGGCCAAAACAAAAATTCAATCGTCATAACAGCAATTTCCATGTGGTTATTGAATCATGCACCACAGACATTAAAATCGGTGGAACTAGTGTTTCCGGTTACTGGCCATTAATTCCTGCCTCCCGATCGAGTTTTTGGTAACGTCGAGCAAGAAATAAAAAAAAATGAAGAAATAATTTTGCCATGTGTATATCGGACTATTATAGGACGTCACGGAAAAGTACTGCGTTAGGTGACGATGTCGATGTCTATGACTTCAAAGCAACAGCTGGGAAAATTACCTAGCAAACATCAGCTTTACATTTCAAAATTAAAGAGTGTAGAAGATTTTTTATTCGACGTCATAAAAATGGCAGAAATTGTGAAGTGCGTGGTGAACTGGTTTACAAGCATAACGTAGGTGAATACAAAACTATAACTAAGAAACAACACCATTTAAGAAATGTTTTACCTTACATAATACAAAAATATGAACAACCCCGAGTGAAAAAAGAAAAAGTTACGGATGTGAAGAAACTACTAACAAAGCACTTTGGTCTCGATTGGAAAAAATCTACAGAGAATCTGCGATACCTACTATATTAATTTTTTCGATCGTCAGGTATCAACGCATGAAGAAAGTAACGAATGCAACTCTATTTGCGAATATGTAGAGGATTGTACGGAATTTATAGTTTAATGTTTGTTTTCTATTAACACATTTATTTTGTTACTACTTTTTAAATATTAATACTATATAAAAAAATCATATGTTGTATGATTATTTTAAAAGTTTTAAAAGACTAAGTCTTAATACCTTTTTCGTTTTTTAACTAAGAAGAGTGTACTGAATTATTTTATAGTTAAACGGTTGTTTTTGTTTTCTAGCAACAGATTTATTTTGTTACTATTTTTAATATTATTTTATAGAAAATCAAAATATGAATGGTTATTTTAAATGTTATAAAAGTGTTAAAATATTGTTTGTTTTTAAATTAATAAAAAAATACTAATCGGTTATAAGGTCTGTTCTAATCCTACTTTTTCTATCGACATGACTTTTCTATCATGTCATACATTTTTTACGTTTCTGTGGCTAATGAGGCAATCTCCATGTGTTTTTGTGACAAAAGTGGCAATCTCCGTGGTTCCGCAGCAAAATGGACAAAGTCCATTTTCCCTAGGTACTTTATTATTTAATGTTATCGAGATTTAACAAATTCTACGATTACAGGAAATAACACCAAACTTCACTATCAATCAACGAAAATAAAATATCATGGAAAAATACAAGAAATAAAGGTAAAACAATTTTTCGACATTTACCAAAAATCACTGCGTTTGGAGATTGCTGACTTTGCCACATAACACTTACATCTTTTATTAAGATACGGCTCAAATATATTGTAGGTACCCTTGAAATATATAGTGTTTAAATGCTAACTGAGAACACTCAATATCTTTGCATAGAGCCTAGCAATTTGAATTCTTATTTTTCATTGGTTTTTATAACATAAAAATGTGTATTTTATGAGTTTTAATTATTTTAACTTATATATACACGCGCATGCGCAGTACAACTTTTTTTTTCTTAAATGGCAATCACTTATTTTAACCACTAATTATTTTTTGCATATTTTTTTTTTTTATGAATTTTGGTAGTTAAAGCAAGTTTTTATCATATTTAATTTTATATAAAATTGTCATAAAGATAAATGTTTACTATGAGGGAGATACCTAATGTTTAATTTTATAGTGCCATATAAAATACGATAAGTATTAGATTACGTTTCTATTCCAATTTAAAATATCACAAGTGATTAATTTGGACAAAAATTGAACTAATTTAAATTAATTAATAACTAAATAAACTTATAACTTGAATGGGAATTAAATTTTGATCCATTAAATGTCACGAAATAAACAACGTGCCTGCTTATTTACGTTTTTTCTGCTATAAGTAATAATACATACCCAAATTAAAGTGAAAATTATACAATAGATAAAATTATAATAACGTGTAAATATCACTTCAATAAATGCCTTCGCAATAATTTATAATACTACTACTCTTTGACCTTTTTTTATTAGATTTTTACTTTTTATTACTCTGATAAAAAATAAGTTTTTCTACCACTATTTGTATTGTAGTGATTTAATTAAGTCTATGTGTAAAATAATAGTAAAACATATTACTTTGAGTTTGTACATTGATTTTATTTTTATAATATAATCCGTAAAAAAATGCTTTTAATATAATTTATTTTGAATGATTGGTATAACAATAAATATATATATATATATATATATAAATATATTCAATTAAAGTAAATACATTATATAAATACAAGTATACAAAATAACAAATATAATTTAAGTTAATTGATCTAATAAAATGTCATAAAACAGTTTCTGTTTTCTTTAATCTTATTTATCTGTTTTCATTGTAGCTTCCTCTTCATTGGTTAGTAATTATTATAATAGTCGTCGTCGTCGTCGTCGTCGTCGTCGTCTGAAGGTACGTCACTAAATATGCTATCCGCTGACTGATGTTCAAATGATTCATATGAACTAAGATCTCTACACTCAAAGTCACAACATTTGACCAAAGAAGAAAATACCACTTGACAATCTTCCTATAATCACAAATATTTTGTATGTATATGGTGGGGTAAATATATATTTTATTATAAATTTAAATGTTGACTAAGTGTTATCGTCGCTTCGTATTGTGTGTTTGTCGCATCTTCTAAAATTTTATAGCATATTGGTATGTTTTTGGCGGATGAAATAATATATTACACTTACATACTTATTACATGACTTTTTATGAATTAAAAATACCTACGAATAACTTAATACTAAAATACAAAATAAGATCATATTCAGTGTTTGGAAAGAACGTCGTTCTTTGTTCACGTTCATATTTTGTGAAAGACACGCGAACGTTACTTGCTTTTTCAAATAGAACGAGAGCGTAAACGTTATTTATATTTTTAATGAATTCAAACGATTTTTGAAGTGTTAAAATTTATACCATTTTAAATTTATATACGTATAAATAATAATTATTAATTATAATATGTTTAAATATAGGTTTTAAAAATAAAACATACCTAATTAATTTTGTAGGGATATGGTTAACTGTGACAAAAAAAAATTTAACATTTTACAATCTGCGACAAAACCAATAAGATACGGCAATTTATTTTTTATACCTACGATATTATATACTATTGTTTAGGCAAACACAAAATTAATTGTATCAAAGCTTTTATTGAAAAGTGCAATGTAACATGCGTTTTACACTAAACTTTTTCCCGATACAAGTCGACTGTCGACAAGCAAAAACACTTATAAATAAATTGATAATCGCGGAGCGGTCCCATAATGTAAGATAATGTTACAGAAAAGTAATAACCTGGAAATATCAGACCGAACACAGCCGCCCACCTTAAAATATATTTTCAACTCATATATAAATAATCAAAATAATAATATAAATAACAATATAAATCTGAAACAATAATAAATAATTTATAAACAATTTTTTTTTATATATATATAATAACAAATAAATATTTTAAATTAAAAATTTTTCAATGGCAATTTCTTTTATGTTTCAATCGTTAATTGTTTTCTGTTATGTTATTCGATATTAATTGTAATCGTTTTTCGTTTCTGTTTCGTTATCTGTTATCAATTTCAATCGCTTTTTGAATACTTATAACTTATAATTTTTACAATCAAGTCATCAACATGATACAATAAATAATATAATTAACAATAAATATAATAAATAATTAAGTCTTTAAAATAATTTATTTATATAGTTTAAAATAAAATACCTACCTACATATTTATTATTTATCGGTACACGTTTGCATTAAAAATGTTAAAATGTAAATTTTTGTGAATTTTTAATCAGAATATATTTGTTTCTTATAATTTTGTTTTTTAATATTTCTCTTCCTATGTTTTTTTTTTTTTTTTTTAATCAATTAATTTTTAAATCAATATCGACTTGAATTTCAATTAATACTTAAATTACATGTGAAAATGTTCAGCTCCGTTCATTATTTTTGGGTTATTGTCTACACTAGCTCATAACTCTAGCTCAAAATTAGCACTGAAATCAATATATTTTTTTTAATATTTAGTCTAAAAATTTCATACTTATTGTTGCATGTCGCAATTGAAATTATTTTAGTAAATGCGTCCGGAACGTAATTTGAGTTTAAATATGATAAACCGAAAAAGTATTTAAACCACCTTCCATTCTCAAAAAGTAAGAGTAGAAGACCCCATCCTTGCCGCTCGAATATTATAATTACATCGGTATCGGACCCCTTGATTGATCGAAAGAAGTGACTAAATGGGAGGCCAGCCGTGGCCGGCGTTAGGGGCGCGGAAAGGAGTTCTGGCCGTAGCTCTATGTAGAACGGACCAAAAGACCTTCTACGGGAAATACGTCTGGGACGAGCAGAGAATTCTAGCCACGACTCAGATAAAAATGGATGATTCTAAGGGATACCTTAGGGAGGCGAAGTTGGGCTGCCCGGTGATCCTAAAACAAAGATGTAATAACTGGGGTCTGTGGCCTAACCCACACTGGTCAAGCGTCCCAGAGCGAGTCCACCTGGATTCCCCAAAAAGGGAAGAACCCGATACATGTAATATAATCCAGGTAGGTGAATGGTTGAAACTGAAAAGTTGACGACGCCTTATAATTGAAACATCCCACGGATGATATTCCCATCTAAATGGAGAAAAAACGGTACTATGAATGGTGTGGGCCCTATTTGAAAATTCACCACGGGACAAGTCCTGGTCGAATACCCACCGAGGGGCTTAGTGTTTGTGGTGACTGTTGTGGGAGCAACTCAAGTGGTTAAAGGACAAATTTTCGTCCAGGCAAAAGTCCCTGGTGACAGCTGCTCGTTGGTATAGCACACAGCTTCGTGGGTGAACCCCCCCCCCCCCCCCCGTGGAAATTGTGTGATACAGGCGGTGGCGAATCTCTCGAGGACCTAGGTACTTTACCGGTTGATGTAAGAGACACCAAAGGTTGTCCGTAACCATAAACAGACAGAGGAAGAATAGCCCTCCACCTGACAAAGGTAAACGAAGAGTCATGATACTCGACTTCAAATGGTACGCTGCCATCATCGCAGAGCGACATGATACCCCGGAACTGGTGGTCTCCTTGACGACCAAATAAGGCCAGGATGGCTTGCCGTCTCGGTCCCTGTCGAAAGCTCCGTAGTAATATACGGTTAGTAGTTGTAGGTGAGCGTTCACGCCAGTCCAAAAGCCAGGGAGACCAATGTTTTAAAAATAACAACAAGAACACGTTAGAGAAATTAGTGATTTTAAAAATTACAATTAAATTCTACCATTATACTACCTATTAAATTATTTATTTTATCGTTATTATGTAAAAAAAAAAATGAAAAATAAAAGAAATGGTTTTTAATTTTATTTACATCTCAATAGACACAGAGAGTATTTGACTAGGAATGTTTTAATTTAAAAAACATCAACAATAATAGTTTGAATTATTTCATCCTTATAGCGTTTATTATACAATAACAGTTATTTTCTTTATTTTTTAAGCAAATAATTTTTTAAGTGGTAAAAATATTAAAACATTCCTCTCTATAATATTATAATAATTATTTTAAGTCTCCGAATGTTCTTGAAATGATAAATTTACTAATAGTAATTGAACAATCAATAAAAGTAATAAGTAGTTGATTTATATGCAATATTATATATGATAATATTTTTAGATTATTTAATATTTATTAACACGATTTTAACTTTAGGCAATGATCATCCATATTATATTTTTCTCTTTAAACATTTTATCTGGTTGGTTCATTTAAAGGGTGATATTTTAAATTTTGTAATAGTTTTTACAATAGTTGAAAAAAATAGCAACATTCACGGAATATCAGTTTTAAAGAGAGTTTTAAAAACAACATTATTTAGATACTTGACATATCCTAAAATAATAAAAAAAGCTTATACATTTGATTTTAAAGAGTGTACAATTTTTTATTTTAGTGATTTTAAACATTTATCTAAAACATTTATTAGAATATTATAAATACTTTATAGTTTATAATTATTAAGGTATTTTAATATAATTATTGATATATTTTACGAATAATAAATAGTACCTATAGATACTGGAAATGTTCGTTTTTCATACATTTTATTCGGTCATAGTAAATTTAGTTTTCTATTAAGTTCAAAATATTGTGTGAACATTTCGCAATACCAGTTTGAGAACATAAGCGCTTTTTATCTAAAAGCAAATTATCTTCTGTGTTAAATAAAATACGCATTACATTACTATAACGATGTACTTACACTAGGGCTAGGCGTCGGACAATGCCACACTTGACATTTTACAGGTTTTGCTTTTAAGCAGGTACACTCTACACATGGATCTTCGACCGGTAAAAAAGTAGAATATTCCGGTATGGTTCTATTTAAACGGTCAAGACAGTCATTTTTCATACGGATGATTGTTCCTGAATCGTAGGTTGGTTCTGGATCTGCTCTTGACTCTGAACCGAAGGTTGGTACTGCTGGATCTAAACTGTCTGACAGATATAACATACACATTATTAATAACTGTTAATAAAAATAAAATAAAAAATGTCCAAAAATATTCCTATAAACATAATATACTTACGAGTAGCACATGGTAAATAACTATTTAAAACTGTTAAAAATACTATACAAAAAATACTCATGATTGACGCCATGATGTTTTAAGCTTAAGAAATTTTTCTAGACTAGTTTACACGACGATGCGACATCACAATTGGCGTCAACATGGTCTATTCTCCCGCTACAATATTACATTGCAGACTATTACAAATAATTATCATTTATATTACATTTAGTGATATACCTATAATTATTCTGATTAATAGAAATTGGTGATATTATGTATGCATATATACTGTATCAAAACGATTACTCCGCTGGGTTATTCATCAACAAAACAATTTAGTGATCATTTAAAACATTAATAGTTCTGAAATATATTGATACTAAATACAGCACGATCTCGCTTAAAAATTCAACTTTCACCATTTAATACCAATGGCGTATTAATGAATACGCGCCTCGGGATGAAATAATTTTTTCGATCCCATACCCATCTCGAAAAATTCAAATCTATGCAATAACAAAATATATTTGTTATATTATAACAAATTGGCAAATATTTTGCATATAATTGCAATATTTTTTTAGATATCTATTAAGTAAAATACATGGATAAGTCCAGTAGCGTGCTCAGGATTTGCAATGGGGAGAGGGAGGATGTAATAAGTAATAATAAACTGTAAAATACGATTGAGAGAGTTATTTTCGGTAACACAATTGAGAACGCTCGATATTTAATTTTTTTTCCAACGCCAAATTTAATCGAACGATAATTTGAGTACAATAATCGACGTCCATGAAGTTGGCCCCCCAATTCGTCCTATCAACTTCAAACATTCATCAATATTTTGAAACTTATTTGGAATTAATTAGAATCTAGTTTTCCGAATTACATATAGTTAATACAGGCTACAGACCAGTGGCGTCGGAACAATTTTTGAACCATGGAGACTGAGCAGTCCTAGTGTGCTCAGTGGGCACAGTTACAAATACTAAGAAAGGTAAATAAAAAAAAAGATATATTATAAAGACTGTGCCCCCATTGTTCCGGCACCCATGCTACAGACTTAAAAACAAATAGTAATAATAAATTAAAATTATGAGATTTAATATTTGATAATGCTTTAAAAAAGGAAAAATGTTGGGCAATCGCCAAATTCCGTCCCGGGTTGCTGAAAATGACCGAATTCCGTCCCGGAGACGGAGCAACTACGTCCGAATTCCGTCCCGGGGGTGGATAAACTATGTCCGAATTCCGTCCCGTCTAGTCTTGGACGGTATTAATATAAGTTCAATTTTATAGAACTTCAAGAGGCTTCACCTGACATCACGCGTATCGTTTTTTTGTATTATCGCAATTATTCGCAATAAAAACGTAAACGATTTATATACTATGTATTGTGTATACCAAAGTCAGGTGTCGTCTAAGTTTTACCAGCCTATTTCAAATCTAAAAAATAATAATTAAAAAAAAAAATAATAATTTAAATAATAAATAATTTAAATACTAATTACACATAACATATATTATACTTATACTCTTAAATTTATTAAAATACTTATATGACTGTCATATTTATATATAAATGGCATATACTGTAAGTGGAGTTTTTTTTGCTCCGTATGTCAATAGTAAATAAATAAGGCAGTTTTGCCGGATTTTACATTTTTAAACATGTCAGCAAAGCTGCCAGTCCTAAGCCTAGAGAAAATGAGAAGGAAAATATTACTGCCAAATAGTTACATAGTTACATAGTTACAGGTAGTAGGACGGAATTCAGGCATAGTTGCTCCGCCTCCGGAACGAAATTCGGTCTTCAGTTATGGAACCATAGGGGGCCCGGGATGGAATTCGGTACCAGCCAAATATTGTCTTTAGAAATCTGTTTTTCAATTAGGTAAAAATTTTAATTTGTATTACTAGTATCCAGGGCTTTGCACCCGAATTAACCCGAACCCGTAACACCCCTAAAAACCCTTAAAAAATCAAAAACCCAAAACCCATATAACCCGAATGATTTTTTTTTTTTTAAACACCTGAATTAACCAAAACCCGAATAAAATATTGGTTTTAACCTGAAACCCGAATAATTTTTTATTTTACAATCTTTATGTGACATATCATTTTGTAAGTATTTTTTGTGGTTATCTCAATTTTGTCATTAGTTGTTTAATAGTAAAATTATTATTCACAGGAATAATTTCACAAATAATATACAAAATTGTTAATTAATCAAAATGTATCTAAATAAAGACAAAAGCAATATATCATATAGACGGGTGTGCATGAATGGTATGGTATGTTGAATGTTCAAGTGTAAACAACTTGGATACTATTTTTTAAAATTATCTCAAGCGGATATGTCGTATTATTATAATTTAATAGGTAATAGGTCTTCTACGATATAGGTATTCTAAACAGAAATTATTAATTAATTAAATTAAACAACTTATACAGGTATTATTACATATTATTAATATTACATTAATTGCGATCGTTCAAAGTCATGACAAAAAGTTTGTAAAATCTTACGAATTCGATTTAATTTTTATCACAGAATTTTTTTTTTTTTTAATTCTGTTATTAAAAATGTATTTTACAATTATATTAATTATTGTATTTTAGCCACATAACAATTTTTAGGGCTAGGGGGCTAAAACCTGTACTTTATATTACTGGGGGGCTTAGTCCCCTCAAGCCCCCCCTCCCGATTTCCACCTATGCCACAAACACAAACGCAGAATACAAAATTGTTTTTTGTCAAATGCGATATGCCCGCACTAACTAGGAGTAGGACATAGTGTTAGTATTTTAATTTTAATAGATATTATAATTTATAAGCTTTATACACATATAAAATAGCCCCATCTTCCCCGAAAATAAATCGCGGTTACACCATTGCTTAATATTAACATAATGATAGTTTGGTCTAAAAAACTGTTGTACAGTTGTATAAGAAATTTATATTTTATTACATAGACAGGTAACAAAAAATATAAATATTTCAGTAGTGTAGGGGGGGCTTAACCTCCCCACCGCACTCCCCCAATAAAAAATAATATTTTTCCTTATCTACTTAACACCCGTATTAACCAATATTAACCCGAATAATAACGGTTATTAACACTCAAACGTTTGTTTAAATGTTGTATTGCGGTGTTTGAACACCTGAATATATTCAACACCCGAAACCCGAAACCCGAAAAAATTATTCGGATGCAAAGCCTTGCTATTATCTATAATTTTTATATAATACCACAGAACATTTTAAAATATAATGAATATGTGATGAGCAAACAATTTTTTTTTTGCTATTGAAATATAATATTTAAACTCTGGACTATATATGCTCTTAATGTAATATTATACCCATTGGAGGGAGACCTTGGAGTATCTAAAATTGACATTTTGAAACTAAAAAGCATAATTGCTGTAGTTGTCAAAATTGTCCTATATATTTCAATATTTACACCATAAAAACAACTATTCGCAACTTGAAAAAATTTTATCCTATGCCACCCAGGCATTATCAAGTCAATGAAGACGTTTTTTTGATTCCTAATGGCTTTATACAGCATTAAGCTTTAACATTACTATTTTAAATAATTGCTCTAACTGTACCGTAAATAAAAAATTTCATAACGTAACAATTATATTAAATATTACTAATGGGTTCAAAACAATAGAAGATGAATTTTACAAATATTTCAACTCTATTAACTCGGATTGCTCAGAGTGTGTTACGGGTATCATTAAAACTGCAAAAGAAATGAACTCTCAGTTATTCATTTAATATTTGATAACATTTGATATAAAAACTAATGTTTACTCGTTAGTTATATCAAGGTATATTTAAAGAAATGGCTGCATCCAAATTGCATGCAAAAAAAAAATGTACGAATTGCATGCTATCTCATAGAAAAGTCTCTCCGAATTGCATGTCACGCATTAGAGAGGTATGCCGTTTACCCACAAGTTTATTAATAATATTTATAATTTATAATTATTTATAATATTCTTTTGACTTAAACTCTTAATGATAAATTAATGGTGATTATAACTGATAAGTTTATAGATTGGAATATTTTTTATATCCGAGTAAACATTTTACATATTTAAATACCATGTAAAATTGTAAAATACGTTTACTTGATTACCCTAAGCTACAATCGTTTTATTTAACGTTTAATATTCACAGTGTTACCTTTTCCAATTCGGTAAAATGTTTACTCGGATATATAAACATTTCAATCTAGAAACTAATCAGCTTCTATTAATCCGTTTTTTTTTTAAAAAAATAGAAAAGTCAAAAAGTATGAAAATAGAAAAAAATCAGCAATCTAGTCAATAAAGAACTAAACAAATTATGGAGATGCACCTCCATGCATCAAAATATAGAGTTCCATCCAGACGGTTTACTACAACGGTCTCAAACTAACTCAAACACTAACGTCAAAGGGTAGCGGGCAAAACACTTTTTTTTATTTTTACTCATTTTAATATTAAATCTAAGATAAACAAAATAAATTAAGACGAAATGTAATTCTTTTATTGATTGTAATTATGACAAAAACGAACATCGTACTGCGTATTGATTTTTTTTTTTCAATAATAAAATAATGATAATAATAATTGATTTATATTTTCGAGCAGCGGTTGATACTTGACATCTGTTGTTTTATACCAGGCTGTCAAAATATAAAATATTTTATTAAACAAAAATACATAATACTGTGCACACGATTAGGTCATGACTTATGGCGCAACAACCGGTCAATCCCGATCGGTACCGGAGCAACGATGGCCTGTGCACTTGTTTGCGATCGCACTACCTGGTCCGTCACCCGGTGGACGCGTGCGGGCGTCAAAGTCCACCGCGGCCGCTACTCGTTATCACGAATGAACGCGCGCACGCGCGCTCGGCTCGAAGAACCGTCTCCGGCGCGCCCGGACCACGGCATCGTCAGTACGGCTCGAGCACGTCGGCCGCGCGTTCCACGTCCTGAGGCGCACCAGGGCTTTCGGCCGCATTCCGAACGCGCGCGCCCGCTGGTGATGATCGCCGTCGATCGTCGGACGCGTTCCTCCTCCCGGCACCGGTCTTCGCACGCCGACGTCGGCTCATCGTTTCCCGTTCTCGCACGTCCGTCGCGATAACATTACCGTCGCCCGGCATCGCGGCAGCGACAACACACGGTGCACGTTCGTTCGTTCGTTTACCATGGCCGTGCTGGCCGAGGGCCGCGACAACGTGGTGTCCATACCGGTCGTGGACGCGCTGAAAATGCTCGCGCTCTCCGTGGTCTGGGGCTCGTGGATCGTCGTCAAGAACGCGGCCTTCCGGGCCGTCGGGCCGCTGTGGTCGATCAACCCGTTCGGCGACGGCGGCCCGGTCGACAAGTCGGCGACAACGGCGGCTGCGGTGGCGGGAAAGACGGCCGGCGACGGATCGGACCGGACGCGGCTGACCGCGCACGCGCACAGGGACCGCCCGCCGCCGTGTCTGTTCACCACGGTATTCGGTACTCATTCGTACGTCAAAGTCAAGGTAAACCGTGTTCGCATTTACGCGCGACCTGCTGACCGGTCCGTGTTCATTCCGATTCGCGGCCGCTTTTTGTACACACATGGGCGTCACTAAAGTCCAAATTTTGTGGTAGCAACGTTTATTTTTAGAAAGTTCAAAGATTAATTTTTAAAGGTTTAACATGATAACAGGCTAACTCCTCTTCGTAAATCTTGGTATGACGTATAGTGTGTACACTGTTTTACTGTTCGTGTTGGACTTATCACAAAATATTGTGTTTCGGATACAATCACAATAACAGGTGGTCTATGTTCGTATACACTAGAATAATAAACCTCGATTATATTTTTAAAATCTATAACTTTTTTTGGGTTAGCAAAAAGATACCCTTGCTACTCCAAAACAATTTCTGTGGTAGCAAAGATACGCCTCAATACCCCTTATATGGGCTATAGTGGCGCCTATGTGTACACACGTCTTCGACAGCGTGCCCCGCGATCGTTTTTCAACAAATCTAATAAATACGTTTACTTTTGGACGAATATTTTTTCTCACCGGAAGCTCTACGGTTAAACATATGTTTTGTAAAAAATAGAAAATTTAATGGAACGGCTTCAAATGTAATATCCGAAATATCTACGAAAGTCATACCGTCCCGTAGCGTCTCTTGCTTATCGGCTATCGTTTCGCGAGTTTTAATGTTACTCATCAATTTCGATGCAGAAACACATTAGGAATCGGGGACTGTTGTGTTATTATCAAAATTGATCGGGTTACCAGTTGTAGAACGTTACGAATAGGTATACGATCTAACAACCAACCGCTAATGCAGTGCTTCTCAAACTTTTTCGAGTCATGGCACCATTTTTGATCTAAGGTTTTTTTAGGGCGCCCTTCTCCAAGTCTAGCATGACTAATCATAAGGAAAATTTCAGACCCGATAGTATTTCATGACGGTGCGGCGCCCTTGTTCAGACATCGCGACGCACACTTTGGAAACCGATACGCTAATGAACATCAGATTCGTATTTATTTTAATTAATAACCGCTATTTATCATAATAATTATTGATTACTCCACCGACTGAAATAGCAGTCATGCGTAATTTGTTTTCGTCGGTCATACAGTTTCGGTTACCAAAAGTTAGATTTTTAATGCTTAGTAACTTAAAAACACAAAAAATATCTATACAATTGAAGTTCGTATGCTGGCGGTTTGTCACCCATCAATTTCAGTAGCCGCTACGCGTGTCGAGGGTGAACAATGTATGCCAAAATCGGAAAGAATTGCTTGTTGACCAGAACACCGTATTAATGTGTTATTTAATCTATCAAATAAAAGATACAAGAACTATCACTTATGTTTCAACTGTTGCATTTATTAGTATTGTAATCGGATATTGAAGAGTTTTGTTTTCATTTGTAGGACTTTTACCCAACATCAAACATTATTCTTAAAATATTCAGTGCTAGCCTATGACGTTAAAGTTAAATATAACGTCCGAAACCTCTAATCTCGCTCACTACCAGAATTATCATAAGTAAAACCATTCCCTTGGCCTTCCCATTTTTTTTTAATTACAGTTATAGACTTTGTTTTTAAAATATATTTTATCATACGTATTTGTCGAACACAATCGTTTTCTTCGGACGTACCTATATTTAATCAATTGTGGTCCCACACCGTGGCAAAACTGCATTATAACAGTGTTACCCATCTGATAGCGTATGGTATTACTCTTATCCCGTGGTATCAATCTAGGGTGATACGGGATGTTTCCTTGAAGAGTGTTCGGCCTTTCCGAAAAATAACGTTAACATTAGACGCAACATGTAACATGTTACTATAACAATGTTCGGTGTTCGTTTGCACTGTCGCATTCGCATGTTGTATTCGCATGTTGCATCATTAGTTTGCAACATGTTACAAGTCATAATGCAGTGTTTTCCATATAAAATAAATATGTATCGATGTAAAAAAAAATTAGTCTCTTGAAATTGAGAGAATAGTCAACATTTCTACTCGGGTAGCTGCAGCTGCATATATTTTTATTTCCCTAGCTTTAAAAAAAAAAGTCGAAGGAAGCGTAAGTGGTGGCAAACTCGATTATTCGCTCACAGATTGTATTTTGGTGGAAGTACATTATTGACTGACCTGAGAGTTCAACAAATAAATGGTAAATTTCAAAATTTTTTAAGAATGTCTTCTAGTGACTTTGATTACCTTATTAATTTAATCGGACCTAAAATTGAAAAAACCTATACAGCACTCAAAGGACCCATAAGTGTTCAAGAAAGATTAGTTGTAACTCTTCGTTTTCTTGCAACCAGTGAATCATTTTCCAGTCTCCAATACCTCTTTCGTATGTCCAAATAAATCATAAGCAATAAATTTGATAATTGATCAGAAATGGAAATTCAAGCATAATTTTTTAATATATTATTAAAATGATTTTTATGCGAAGGATTCTATAATATTTCTTTATCACGGTACATTTCTATAAATTTTAAAATAATTTCTTTTGACCACTCGAATATTGTATATTTGAAATAAAATATTTTAATAAACAATAAATACAAGCTCGTTTCTGTATCAAACGTCAACTGCCAGTTGGAATAACAAAAATTATTAATAATAGGTTAGTTATTAGTAATAGGTTGGCAAACCTGTCCATACTGGCCGCAACATGTTCGTGTAAAATCCTTTGATGTTTCACTAAATTACCAACTGTCAGCCGGTCGCCAGTTTATTACATAAATGTGTTACAAGTTCACTGTATAGTTACAAGAATACGTTACAAGTTGCGTGTTGCAGTTGCATGTTACACAAGTGTGGACGCACCTTTACGTTCGCGGATTTGGGCATTCGACACTCATGTGCCAAACTAGAGATTCCGGTGGAGTTATAAATATATATTTATAATGATATATAGTTTTGAGTAGGTTAAGATTTATTGAACGAAAACAGAATTAAGATATGTTGACGCAGGGGTGTATTTAGACTTACTTCTACGGGGGGGACTCAAAATTTTTGGTAATATTTAAATCTTGTTTTTTATCTGATTTTTCACTAAGCAGGACCAGGGCTTAAATCAAAATAATATATATTGTTTACCGTTATGGAACATTTAAATATTATAAGCAATTGAACGTTTAACGCTATAAATAATTTAAACGTTATTCAATTTAAGCGTATAAACGTTATACAAATTTAAACATTTAAGAAATTTTCCGTTTACCGTTATTGACAGTTAATTATGAACAATTTAGCGTTTTGCGTTATTTAAATTGATGTAAAATTTGAAACGTTTTCAAATGTAGTATTTAGTAATCAATACTATGTAAAATTTTAAATATTATATTATATATATATATATTACCTTTAACCAGTGGTGTATTAATAAATATAGGGGGTTTAAGCACTAAAAAAATATGGACATTAATCCTAAAATAAATTTTCTTGCTTCGCTCGACAATTGTTTTCTCTCGATACGTTCCAAAAAATTTAATTAATCATTTCTAATTATATGTTTATAACTTCTATTAAGACTATAAAATATAACACCACAAGATATATGTCTTTGAATCCAATAGGTAATTTAGTAGTATGTCTTTCAAAATTATTCGGAATATATCAAATATTTTTTTGTATTTTGTTGAAACTTCGGGCTAATGGGTCGCCAACATATTATATATAACAATTTTACAGTGTTACTTATTAGTAGGGCTCGGAATTTGATGACCTTAAAAACATTAAAAAAATGACCTAAATAATTACAAACATTTATTTTAAATTAATAAAAAATACACTTTTTTTAAATATTTTTTTCTATTTTACTATAAAATTCTATATAAATTTATCAAAACATTCAAGTTACTTACTCAAAATATGAAATAAAAAAATGACAAACATTTAATTAATAAATTTATCAAATTTTAAATTTATCAATTGTACGATTAGAGCGTATTTAATGTTATCAAAAGTAAATGAACGACGATTATCTATCTGTTCATAAATATTTATACTTGGAAAAACTTCTCTCCACGTCCACTTAAGTGATTGGGAGACGGAGACGAGCACTAATCAACGTTTTAACTTTCGCCATTTCGAAAATATTAAGAAAAAATAATATAATTTAGGTATAATAGGTATTATTCACTATAAAATGACAATGAAGCGACGACTATAATCAACGAGTTAATATCGGATACTAATTGAATCGGCCATTTCGAAAAGGTCATTTCTCCATACATTTTCAAAACTAGTTATATGTGATAGATGTGTCTAACTAATAATAATGCATATTTCCTGCGAGACCGCCATATCATAGTTGTTTTTTTTTTATAAGAGAATTAAATAAGTCAACCCATTTTCAATTTTTATCTAAATTTAATTTTGATTTTTAAAAATAGGTTTTTTACGTTTCCTGACAATTTTCATTTTAGAGAGATATGGCCTTTTTGAAATGACCGATTCAATTGAATATTAGGAAAAAAATAATAAAATTTAGGTATAATACTATTCACTACATAACGACAAATTTAATCGATGAGATAAAATCGGACAAGTCTTAAGTTATCGGCATAATGGTCGATAAGAAACAATAAAGAATTGAACCAGTTTAAAATCAGTAAAAATGACTAAAAATGTGGGAAAATTACATAAAGATGTCAAATATGACTTAAAAAGTAGCAATCACCAAAAAATGTAAAAAAATAAAAAATAAAAATTAGTTATTCGGATTCACATGCTAATGAAACACATTTGTGTCCAGGATAGCATCTTCTAAAAAGTTCGAAAAAAAAAATGCAAAATGCATCAAATTCCGAGCCCTACTCATTAGCGATCACATGGACTATCATGTTATTTACTATTACTAATTTATAAGAAATATTTTGAACCTAAATAGAATTTAATGAAATTTTTACGTGAAGGTGTTGACTTTTGGATATCAACTTTTTTTTAAAAAAAAGCATTAAGATACATTTTCTAATATTTGATTAGGTTTATTTCCTAGTATATATTTAAAATTTAAAAAGTACTAATTGTTATTTCTATTTGGAATAATACGAGTGTATAAATATACTCTATGATATAGTAAATATAAAGCATACGTTTCTTACGTTGATCATACTTGAACATTAAGCAACCGAAAAAACAGTTATTCGAAAAATATTTATTGATATTTTTCTAAGTAAGTTATATTATTGTAGGTTATTAAAATTGATGGTTAAATACATTTTTAGAGTTCAGTTAAACCTTCCTTGTAACATAATTTTGAATTATGGGTTTTGAAATATTCAACCTAACTTATTTTAAGTTTCCTGACTTACTTAATGCTTTAATAGTTATTTATTTTGTTTTATTTAGGGAGTTAAATTTCATTATGTTGAATGTGGTGATCCCGAAGCCATGATTGTTCTTTTGCTGCATGGATTTCCTTCGTGCTGGATAAATTGGCACCATCAAATACCCACCTTGTCAAAACATTTTCGGTAATTTTAATTATTTTATATAATGAAGAATCGTTTTACTTACGTATTATGTAACTCAACTATTCTGATATTTTCTATTGGTACTTATATAAAAATTTTAAACTGATTTGTTTTAGATATAAGTTTTGATAAATCTGAATTAAAAACTGTTTAGTTAAATATAAAAATAATCAATATAATACAAATTTAATAAAATATTCTATACGGGGTTATAATTTTATACCGGATAATATACAGAATGTTTGAAAATGGCTGAGAAAACTATTATACGCATTTTTCTGGAGTTGCCAAATCAAGAATCTTTTACAATTTTTTCTATCTTCAAAACCTGGGTTTTATATAATTATCATTAGAACATTATTTCGAATTTACTCGTAATAATTAATACTTGTAAGATATATCTTGCAAATTTCAAACGTGAATCGATTTGTGATGTTGATTTTTGATTTGTCACTCGTTTTTTATGCTCAATTCGCCAAGATCAAAAGATGTGGATGTGACATATCGATTTATATTAGAGATTTTCAAGATAAACAAAGTTGAAATTTATTTATTATTATTTCACATATTTGATTAATTGACATTTTTTGTAAAGTTGTATTGTAAAATAATTATAATTAAACATAATTTATTTTAAATTCAATAAAAACCGTGTTAATTTATCAGATATTTGAAATAACAACAAATAAATTTCAACATATTTTTTTCTTGCAAAGTTCTCATACGAATCAATATACATTACATTTTGTTATCATATAGTCTTATGGTCTGACTGACCCATCCAGTTTCGCATAAGGGTATATTCACAATATAATAGTGTATACTACGATTTGAACCTACGAACAAATGATAATTAACTGCAAAATGATTTTGACATTCAAAGAGTCATATATCATTAGACATTCATAATAGTATGTACAAGAGATGAAATTATTAAAACAAATATAACTCTGCCTTTTAAATGGAAGTGCACGAACTTATTGAAATAAAATGCTGAATTACTATTTTAGTATAATGAAAATTATAATTATGAGATTAAAAAATACTGATAATTTCAAAAATTTTCTAACACCAGATGAGCTTTAGGCAAGGTCAGAACAGATATAATTTTCATTGTTTCTAAGTGCACTTGGCAATTACACGGTACATAAGTCCGTTCTTTATTTATACTTATATTGGTATAATTATTTATAAACTTATAACTAAATAAAAGTAATTAATTCGTTGTGTATAGTTAAATAACTCTGACAAAATGAACTGTTATAATAGGTATAGTATATAGACATAATAATAGAAATAATAGGTATAGTATATAGAAATATTACAATTATTTCTATTTAATTTTTTAATTTAAATTTCTCTACTTTTGTTATTCATTGTATTAATATTTATGATTTTAGTGAATACACCATTTGTTATTCATTTATTAAGATAACACATATAACAATTAATTGTATTCTTCAAACATGTTTAATTAAAATGGAACGTTACCAAAATCTAATTGAAATTTGACATGGTTTTTTTTATATTTGAATAAAATATATAAAACAGGACAAATATTATAGTTATGATGAAAACTGAACAATTAAATATTACTCAAAACAATTCCGTTTAAAAGAAACACTCCGTAGAAATTATTCATATATAATTATTTTAAATTATGAAGATTATATCAATGAAGAGTAATATATTTAACCTACCTGAAAATTTCGCATTAATGGTACACCTAATAAATCATTTTTATATATTATTAAAACTTTCAGCCACCATATTTATAAAATAAATCATCGTACCTACTCGTATATGGACAAGATAATTGTTTGATAATCGAGGAACTAAAAATTGTTATTATTATTATAAAACAGTGACTACAAATATTTTATACTTTTCATTTAATGTTTTCAATAAAATCACAGCGTAGGTATCTTTACAAGGTCATCTATAGATTGTACAATAACATGTCCCAATTAATTATAAATATATGAAAGAAAACAATTAAAATAAGACTATGTGGCTTGTGGGCTATTTATACTGTTAATAAACGATAAGCACTATTACGAGTATATTTAAAAATTACCAATTAATCGATATTTTTATTAATATTATAATATGAAACGTTTGAAGTTCGTTATACTTTGACTAGTAAAAAAAAAATATTTCACTTTTATATTTGTATTAATAAAAAATTGTATTAACATTACTAACGGCAACGGTATAATAAATTAATATGACATTTGATCTCATTTTTTTTAAACATATACTTGTTTAAAATTTATAATACTAATTTATTATCATACAATGGGATAACTGATCATTTTTCTATGGTTTTTAAGTTTATTTTTCAACCACCTCTGTTAAATGTAAAATCCTTTATTTTCTTAATTTGAACCGTTTGTTATTTTTTTTATTAAAAAAAAAATTATTTATTCGATCAAAAATAATTTATTGGACCTTCTATTTTCCTTTAAAATTATGTTATTTAGTTGTCTGATTTATATCATGATAATCTCTGATACTCAAACAATTTAATTTAAAGATTTTAAAATGCTTTAACACGTTAACACATGTGAAAATTGTGCCAAAAATATGTTTTCCGAAGAATATAATTAAATATTTAAGATCATACAGATACAATTGTGGTAATAAATTTATACCGCCATAGAAGAGTAGGATAATTTTTTTAAAAGTGGTATAAATCAAAGATTATTATGCTTCAAATGGTTAATAAACCTAATTTTTGTTCAAAATACAAAGATAATATTCGTCTACTTAAGATAAGCAAAATAATTGTATTTATCTCATTTAATGTTAATATATTTGTGTTACTTTGATGTAAATTCTTTCAATAATGTTTTGAAATGCCATGTTCAAATTTTTATCTTTTTTCTTTTTTGTAACACGAAGACTTCATAACAAATTGTAGTTGTTTTCCCATTTATTTCTCATTAATTTATTTTATTTCGTTTTATTCTTCGTTTAATGCTTTGGATACAGTACGATTTACAAATTATTAAAAAGTAACATTACGTTTGTGGTTTTAAAAATGAAAATGTGTTTTTTTCGACTCAACATGTTGCTAGATAATGTTTTATGCTAACGTGTACACATTTATATAATTTAATACCGCTTGTTCTGTTTTAGTGTGATTGCAGTAGACCTTAAGGGGTTTGGTGACTCAGACAAACCATCAGCTCGCAAAAACTACCGGGTTGAAAATCTTGTGGATGAGTTAGCTACGTTCATGTCAATGCTAGGAGTCAACGGCCTTCAAAAATGTCACGTGATTGGCCATGACTTGGGCGCTCTATTAGGCTGGTATCTGGTACATTTATGGCCTAATTGTGTGTCGAAATTCGTAGCAATATCATGTCCACATCCTAATGTTCACTGGGAGTACTTACCCACATCTAGTTTCTTCAACAGGAAGTAAGTCGGTAGCAGGATAATTGTAAATAAATTAAATCACTCATGAAATCAATATAAATTATGATCCAGTCCATTTGTGTTATTAAAAATTAATTTAATATTAAATATATATAAGGATTGAAAATCGGATATAAGAATTTTCATGTTCTATTTTGTAGATTAAAAAAAAAAAAAAAAAATGAAGGAAACTCATATAAATGTTGTATAAGCGTTACAAAATTAAATTTTGATGAAGTATAATATTTCAACGGATTCCATTAAACGTTATTAATGATTTAGTAAAATATATTTCATAGATTCATAATATTTTGATCACATATTTGCTGTTTTTAGGCACTCCATGTTTTCAATTTTCTCAAATTTTAAATTCCCTTATTTTTTTTAAAGAAAGTTAGAATATTTCTTATTCAGAAATTTAGTTCTTCAACTATGTAAATATAAATAAAAAATTTTTTCTATTTTCTTAATTAAATATCATAAAATTGTGAGGACCTTTTAACTGCTGCCCACTCAGACCTTTCTAAATCCGGCCCTGTTTACACTGGATTCTCATCTGACTTAAGAGTTTGGCCCTTTTTATTATTAATTATTATTTAAAAGATACCTTTTACTTTATAATATAGCTGGATTTGCTTTAGCCAACTTCCTTACTTACCAGAAATGGATGCTTTGCAAAGTGATATAAAAATAATCAACCAATGTTATCAACACTTATCTAAGACCAAGCAAAGTGATGATTTAGATTACATTGACGCTTACAAATATACATTTTCTAGAAAAGGTAACCATAATTTATTACACACTTGTAGAAAAGTAGCAATTTTCCTGTAGTATTATTGATTACGGTTTTTTTATTGAATTGAAATAATTTATGTTATTATATTATGATAATATTGTGGTTTTAATGTTTAGAGGATTGGACCGGAGCAATAAATTATTTTAGAAATTTACCATTTTATCGAATCGAGCCTCGTTGTGGCAATGATTCTTCAAATCCATACAGAGCCGAAGAAGATATGCTCCAAGTTCCGTGTTTGCTCATCACTGGCAATAAAGATGAAAGCGTACAACTGGAAAGTTTTGTCAAGTCCACGGAGTTTTTGAAAACTTCTACTTTGAGAATCATTGATAACGCCATGCACTTTCCTCATCAGGAGCAACCTCAGGTTGTCAACGATTTATTGATATCGTTTTTAGGTAAATTAAATGATGTATCAAAACTAATTAATATGAAATATGTATTTCGCTTACCTATAAAAGAACTGTAATAAATTTATTATTTTTTCATCAACTTACCAGATAAAAACCGATTAGTATGAAACAATTTAATACTACCGCTCAGTTTAGGCTCACTTATAATTGTAGGAACATATTACATTTCATTAGAATACAGTCATGGTGATTTATCAGGATTATGTTTTTAATCAAGTAAATATGAATTTAATGATGTATACGTGTTATAAACGTTAAATAGTTGACCATAGGATATTAACTATGATTGTTGTTCAAAAATGAAATACAATTCTTAGTTTTGAACCGATTTAATAATTTTCATCTTTTTCGTTGATTATTAGGTGTAAAAGTCGTTATTCATAATTACCATTGTGTATGTTGCTAATCATTTTTTTGTTTTATCTATAACCGATTATACTAATGTGAAAATAGACCGTTAATCGTGTCTAAAAAGGCCAACAACCCCGGAGGGATTTAGGATTTGTAACTTAAGTATAACTGCCTAAATCAATTTTCTATTTTCGGCGGGTGCCAGTGTTAGTTAACTCCAGCATCCGAAACTCGAAAAAACGTCGTTCAGTGTCCGAGTCATCTGACACTGGCTCCCGCAAATAGAAAATTGATTTTGGGCGGTTATACTTAAGTTACAAATTCCAAATTTGTGGTTACAAATTATTACGAATAGGTTACTAATTTGTGAAACTATTTTGACACTAAAATTTTTACTTGGTAGTGCCAAGGTCAGTGACTTACCGTTGCCCCGTGTCATCTTGTAACGCAAGTTCGCTGTTCGGGTAGACGTATTTAATTCCGCCTCTCATCCCCACCACAAGGGAGTATTTAAATACCGCTATCCACAACCTGCGGACCCGCTCTAGTCACGCAAACCAACCCGTTCGCCTCCAGCTTTAAACCTAGCAGCGGCTAGAGTGTGAAAATAGACAACAGAGCCTTAAAAAATGTACAACGTTTCGGAGTGATAATCAATTAATCATCAAATATATGTGATCTAGTTAAATATTTATGACAAAGTTTATAAAATAGTTTATGTTTAAAGAATATATTGTATGTCAAAAGGTCGAATATTTTAATATTATCGTTTTATTAACGAATAATTTAGATCATTTGATGTATTATTATAGTTATTTCCGAGAAACCATGATGCATCGGGACTTTATGAAATTCCTTATAATTTATTAAATGTAACTATTGTTGTTGATATTCACCGTAACGGATATCCATCTTGATTTATGAAAATATATTAACATGTACGTTAAGTGTTCTCAACGTCTTGGATAATCATTATAAATCAATAGTTGAACAATAGTTGTTTTTTTTATATTCAGTCGAGTCGAGTTTCAATTATTTCGAGTTGAGTCGAGTGATTTTAAATTCTTGATTAAATTCGAGTGAAGATACGATCTCGACTCAAACATTTTTACCAAGTTCGACTCTATAAATCAATAACTATTGTTTTTTGTGTGAATCAGATGATCTTGATTTTTATATTTTTGTCGCAGTTAATGTAAAAATGGCCCCAGAAGAAGTGCGGTCGCAGAGTTCAAGCGGTTTTGTCGGAAGAATGAAAGGAATTGTATCGTCTACAGTTCAATATGGGACTACGTTAAAAGATTCAGTTCAAAGAAGAACCACTATTTTATAGACCCCAGTTAAGACGCCATAAAAGATTAATTAAAAACGAAATAATCGAGTTTTGCGATAAAATGTTGTTTTAATTATTTTGCATGTTTGTTGTTGTAAAAAAAAAGTGATATTTAAAATTATTATTATATTTAAGATAATTATTTGAAGAATAATTCTTGATTATACACGTAGAAATACAGTTAGAATTAAGTATTGTGTTGTTGAACTAGTTTACTATAAAAAGGTTAAATTGTTAAATAATTTAATTAGATTCTGAGTTAATGCAGGAATGTATTTTTATTTTTAATGCTGCATTAATGCTTCTCATACATAGTCAATTGTCTATACAATTAATTTAAGTGATAACCTTTTATGTTAAAAAAGTTACTAATATTTTGTTAAATGCTATTGCAATGATATATTTTTATTATTATTTTATAATTTCCTAATGTAATAGCAAAAGTACATCGTTAGTTGTATTTGTTACATTTGAATATTTAGTGAATTAGCATATATACCAAGAGAATAACTGTAAATTAATTAATCCTAAGTTCTCTGATAAATATCAATGCGATAAAAAAAAAAAAAAAAATTATAATTACAAAATAAATACAAACTCAAAAAATTTAAGTTCCGAATTCCCAAAGTTTGTCATTGAATATATAATAATAACAAAATTTACCACCAAAATAATAAAACTAATATTATTAGTATAATTTTAATTTAATAATCACAATTCTTAAATAATTAACTATGGTTAAATAAAATATTTGTATTTGAAAAATATTTATTACTTGGAAAATTGATAATTATAACTTCAGGTGTTAGTTGAATAATTTTATTCTATTTTCTGCTTAATTTATTTAAAATAAAACTGTAATTATTTTCGCTTAATAATTTTTATTTTTTTCATAATTTATTAGGTTTAAAAAACTAGTTTCTAAGGAAATTTAACAAGATATATTGTTTAAAAAATAATTTATAACATAATAAAATTAATTAATTTATAAAAAAATTAAAAAAAAAAACAATACTTTATTGTGAGTTCTTAGATAAAATACAGAAAACGTAATTTAGGATATTATCTAAAATACATAATTTATTGTCAATCGTTAACCTTGTTAATTGTGAATAAACATTTAAAATTACTTATTTTTATCATTTTAACTTTAAATAATTTAATGTGTACAAAATACAAATAATATACTATATTGATATACTGTGTGTATATGTACGTATTATATAAAATGTCATAATTTTTAAATATTTATCTTTAGCTTGTTTAGGTTATTTTCAAACATAATGTGCCAAGGTGATGTCAAAAGTGACTCGGACTTATCACTATGTAAACGGTATGCGTTAGTGTCTTTTTATCTTATGTTTATTTGAAATAATATACATTTTTTTTTAAATTCTTTCTGAAGGATTGTAAACAATAATAATGATAATCTATTGATCTTTGAACTGTTATTCCGGATAAATACCTCGAAAGGAAATTTAATTACGAATTAAGCTCTCGTGCGCCCAAAGAATCCCGAACAATTGATTTCACTTGCAAGGTTAGGTTAAGCTATTAGTTCAGAAATAAAAAATAAAAAAAACAGAAAAGAAGACATGCAAAGAAACGGTGGACTTTATCTTTAAACAAAAATAGTCATTTAGTTGTTACGTGTTTGCTGCATCAGTTTCCATGCTACACGTCACGTTACTCGGCCTATATAAGAATTAAATATTATGTGCAGTAGCTGCTGTAAAATATAATGATATGCAGTAGATCTTCAGTGGTGCACAGATGTTTAGTGGGTATTAGAAGAGGAGACATTGGTCCACGCAAACAGTGAAGGTTATTGGTGTCTTCAGGATATTGAAAAAAAGAGGGGGTCTAATAATTAGGAGGGATGGGTTATTACAGAGCCCTAATTATTAAGAAGAAGAAGGAAAAAATATCATTGAAAAATAATAATATATCTTTGGCACTAATAAGCTACTTATGATGCACTACACAAGTATAATGGTTAAGTTGTGAAAATAATACGTATAATATATTTTATTGATAATGATTTAAAAAAAAGATACACCTTAGATTATACATTACATAGTTAAATTGTAGATATACCTATATAATGATTAAAAAACAAAACATGAATATGCTTATTATAATATCAAATTATATTATCCAATGTAGAAAATAAAAAAAATAATGTAGTCTAAAGTTAAATTTTCTGGTTTTAGATGATAAGTTTAAAACAATGAGATAATTTATTTTAAAACGAGTTATTATTATACATAAACATGTTAAGAATAATAAAAACTTTGATTATTATTATTTATTATTATCTAAAATATATTGATATAAAATATTATTTATAAAATTGGTTTGTGCGTTAAAAATATTATTACAATTATTTTTCTTTATTTCATTGTTTATATGTAATTCTTCTAAAACTGAATTGATGTAAATTTTATTTCAATTATTTAATATTTATAAATATTTCAATACAGACTCACTTTAAAAAATCTTATCTTTCCTATTAAAATGAATTATCTCTATGTAAAACGAAAAATAAATAATAATAAATAAAAATAAAATTTTTCTCCATGTATTCCTTCCTTTATTTTTTTAATTTCAATTGTGATTAGATTTAATATTAATATAACTGCATAAACGTTTAAGAACATAATAGTTTTTAATCAAGTTGGTTTAACTCTTTTATATAATAGAAAAAAAGACACAATTAAGCATAACCTTTGAACTTAAAATTAATTATTTAAAAGCATGTAAAAGCAAAATATTTTTCATTTCACTGAGAATCTAAAATTAAAATATACATGACTATATACGTGATATAAGATTTTAAAAACATTTTAATTTTTCTGTTTAAGAGGACGCTCCACATGTATAAATTCGTCCGAAAAAACCGTGTCACGCGGGATAGAACCACTCAGGCTGTAGTAATAGTTTAGACTCCAAATTTATATACAATATAGTTGAGAAAATTATCTGTGAAACGTCATTTTTATTTTTTTGATATCTCTTGTACGAAAAAAGTTCTTATTGTTTCAAAATCCATTATTTTTGTGTTTTTCTAGTTTGAATAACTTTTTTTGTAGTTCCGATATCGAAAATATAAAAACGACATTTCACAGAAAAATTTATTGAAATTTTTTTTCCTTTATTTATACAGCCAATTTAAAAGCAAATAATTGTGCATACTATAGTTGTTAATTCCAACAATAAATAATTTAACTATTCTGATTTTAATCACTCATAAAGCAAGATATTATATTTCACAACATTTTTTTGATTAATCTATAATAATTTATAACAAATCAAAATTAAAATAATATTTAGAAATGCATTTATCATTCAAAAAAAAATTTTACCTCATCTACTATCCTCAACAGGGACGGCGCGAAGGGGTGGACAATAGGGGCAGTTACCTCGCAAAATCTAGCACCGTCACTGATCCTCAAGTCGGATAACTGTAAAGTTATTACACGACATCTAAATTGAGAAAATCTTTTGAATTTAGCGAGGATGAAGATTTGACTATTTTTCCAAAGTTTAAATTAATGAACCACACTAAATCTAAAAGATTTTCTCAATTTAGACTCTAATATATTTACTTCATTGCATATTTTTAATCTTTCAGGTGACAGAATTGATATTAATTCTTCATATTCTTTTATTTTGACACTAATAATTTCTTGTATTTCCCCTTCAGATTTACTTTTTGTTTAAATTTCCATTTCTGGTGTAATAACTTAACAGTTATTCATTTTGTTGATACCAGATAAAGTAAAGTTTTAGGTAAAAAAAATTAGTCATTTCATCATCAACATTATAACAAATACAAACGTAACGATTAACAATGAACACTGACAATAATAAACGCATTCTGCTACTTGAAAACTGATGACAACAAATCTACGAGAGAAATAAGAAAATGAATTACATTAGCAAAACAAGCTTTCGAGAAAAAATGGTCACTTCTTACTAATAATCATCTAAGTTTAAGTTTAAGAAAGAAATTCGAAGAACATACATTTGGAGTATATTACTATATGATTGTAAATTATGAATGATAGGAAAAAGATAGACTGTAGACTATAGAGATGTGGATGTAGAGGAAAATGACTAGAACAAGCAGTATTGTATGTAATATACTCGTATAATATAATAAATATAAGAAGCATTGCACACCTAATAAAATTATTCCAGATTTTTAAAAAGTGAAAATCTTTAATTCATTTTTAGTAAAATAAGTGTGAGGACCATCAATCGAACAAAAAAAAAAAAAAAAAATCAGCAAGATATCAGGCAATTATTTCAATTTCACAGAGAACAGATACATAAATATATTTTGTTGATACACATATAAGTATACGCATATTATATTTTGTAAATAATAAATAATAATGCATGTTTACAAACTTATTATTACATATATTACTACACTATCAAATTACATATCTATTTTTATTTCAACTATACAATATTATTAACATTATTAATTATTGTAATATATTCTATTATTATAAGTATTATTAATTCATGCAATAAAATCGAATTTTTTGTTATGAAAAATAATTTCTTTTGAACAAAATGTATGTAATAGTTATACTGTGTCATCCCAATTTGATACCTCAGTTAAAGCTTTAATGATTTATCTTGAAGACCTCTTAAAATATTGTACCCTGTTATGTCTTTCCACCAACCGTGTTCCACGTAGCTACACAAAAAGCGTTTTAAATATTTTTTCAAAACGAAATTACATTTAGCTGATGATATGTTAAAAAATGAAATAACCTTCAGCATAATACCAACACTGTTTGGAATAGATTTAACTGTTGAAGATTTTAATATAGACAAAATAAGTGCGTGATTATTACAGGGACAGTAGACATGTTTAGTGAATTTTTGAATGCATCAACTGCTCCTTTTCAAGTTGACACCATAAATAAACAACCATCAATGGAAATTACAATGCAGTTAGGTGTTAGATGCAAAGTTCTAGGGGCTATGGAGACAAGTGCTACGATGTAGATGCTATAGTGCTAGTTACTATGGAGGTAAATGAGACAATGTAAGCGCTATGGCATTTTGGTGCTATAGTGGTATGGAGGTGTACGACACGATGCTAGTCGATATGAAGGTAGACGCTGTGGTACTAGGTGATATGGAGGTAAATACAAAAAGTTAGGTTCTATGGTTCTAGACGCTAGGTGTTACGGTGCTAGGTGTTGTGGAGGTAAACGCTATAATTATAATTGATCCCATTC